TTCCCGGTCATCTTTTCTCTCCAGGCCGCCTGAGTAATCCTGTCCCTTCCGAAGTCAGACCCGGCAGCTGCACTGGTTGCTCTGACGTGTGCAGGGCTCCTGAGCTCACCTTGCCCTTCCAGGCCCTGGGGACCAGCTCCGGCCTCCCTTGGCGACCTTACTTCCCAGGTGTCCCCCCTCGCTGTCTCTGCGCCAGCCACTGCTGGCCTCCGTGCGGCTTCTCCGGCTCGCTGCACCCTGGGCCTCTGTGTCTTGGGCTGCTCACTGCAGGCAGGCATCCGCTCAAAGGCCGCTGCATCAGGGGCCCTGAGAGCCACCCAGCCTGTCACCCTCAACTTCTGAACACTACAGCCACAGTCCTCGCCACAGCCCTATGGCCTGTCCCATGGGCCTGTCCCTGTGCCGTCGTTCCGCCCTCCCCTCCCACCACATGAGGCCACTGCCCACTGCAGCCTTCACACTTCTGTTCCCCCTGCTCACCATTGCCCCCTCTCCGCTGGCTCAGCAGGGTCCCCCGTGTTCCTCACCTGCACCTCCTCCCTCATGCCTCAGTGTGTCACCAGCCGCTGTGCTCATCACTTGCGTTTGTAGGGGCTAGGGCTCGGGGAGGTTGTCACACACCCCAGACCACCTGTTGGACAGTCAGCCAGGTGTGCACCGGAGGGCATCGGGATCCAGCTACCCTCAGCGCTCCTCCTGGCGCCGTGCTGGGCACTGAGATTCTTGTGGCCAGGGTGAATGGCCACAGCCAGCATTTGCTGGCACTGCCAAGAGTGCCTAGTCTGCCTGGTCCCTCCAGCGTGTTGTGATGTTGCTCCTCTCCCTCCTGGGGACACATCATCTCCAGTGTTTCCTCCTAGCCTCTCCAGGGACTTCCTGCTTCATTTTCCCAAGAGGACCAGTTGTAATGGTTCCTCCTCTGCTGTCCCTGAGGCCCAGGCTTCCGCCTCCCAGCCTGTGGGGACCCTGAGTCTTCCTTCTTTGGGAAGGGGTCTCCTCTTACTGTCATTTCTCAGCCCAGCAGCAGGTGACCATTAGGAGGTATTGCTCAGAAGGGGCCCACTGGGCTTATCCCTCCCCTGGAGAATGAGAGGCCCCCGTGAAGCTCCTTTGAGGCCCTGCTCTGCTCTGGGTACTGGCACATGGCTCTCCATAGAGTTATTCTAAAGAAGGCCCACCCGCCCTCCCTCCCTCTCCCTTTCCCTCGCTCTCTGGTGTGTGTGGTGGGCCCAGGACTTGTACAAACCAAGTGTGTGGTCTGTATTGAGCTACACCCCAGCCAAGAGGTCCATTTTTATAGAGGACCGATGTGAGACTCAGAGAGATTAAGTCACTTGCCCAGGGCCACACAGGAGGAGCAGCAGGTCTCTGATTTGAATCCGAGAGGTCCGTCTCACTCTTCATTGTCTGAAATCATTACTCAAAAGGCTTTCCTATTCTGGTGGCTTAGTGCATCTGATGACGTGAATGGGGCCTCAGGAACCTGACCTGGCAGTTTGTTGGTAGGAGCCTTGGACTTGTCATGGTGCCAGGGTTCAGGTTCACAATGCACAGGGGTGCAGGGCAGATGGCACAGGCAGCTGGTGAGGAGCTGCCTCTGCCCGCCGGCGTCCGGACTCTGCCTTGCCTTCTTCTCCAGTCCTGGCTTCGTGTCCCTCCTGTCCTGCGCCCCTGAGCACCGGACTGCACTCGAGGTTTGGTCTGGCACACTCATGCTGCGCTCCAGCCTGCGTCCCTGCTGGTCCCGGTGCCGGGTCCCCACGTCTCTGGCCGAGCCACTCACTCACCGCCACCATCGTCAGCTGCGCAGGTGGGAAGGAGACCTGGCCAGCGTCGCTCACTAGGCAGTTAACTGTTGGCAAATGTGTGACTCAGGAGTGTTTGGGGTGTTCCCAGTGCTGTGCGACCCCCTCCTCTCTGGGGTTCATAACCATAAACCCCGCCCCCCCCGGGCTCATCATATGATCGCTGTCCCCGCCCCCGGGTACCCGCTGGCCTGCTTTCTCTCTGGGTTTCTGCCTGAGAATGCAGCACAGAGAAGAGACACACAGTTGCTGACCCCTCATGTCTGATTTCTGTTTGCAGTGCTGGGGACCACAAGGAGCTCCTAGTCCGTGCTAGGCACACGCCGCACCCCCATGCCACTCCTCGGCGCCTTGTCCCTGGCTGCTAGTGCGGTTTTCTCTCACTCGTCATCCAGCCTTGTGTAGCTGTACTAGTGCACCGTTCCTTTTTGAGGGCTGAATAATAATCCGTTGGGTGGAGGAGGCATAGTTTCTTAACTCGTTATTCCTGGTGCCCATTTGAGTCCAAATCCTTCCTTTTTTTTGGTACCAGATTGAACTCACCACCTTGTGCTTGCCGGGCAGGCACTTACACCGCTGAGCTAAACCCCCAGTATCTAAATCCTTAACATAGTGTCCTGAACTGGTGGTCTCTAAACTTTGGTTCCAGAGTTTGCCTTCTTTTCAAGAAATATGTTTGCCCATTTTCCCATGAAACATAGACGTGCTTGTTTTATGTGTCCTACTGTACCTGTATGTCCCGGGCCTGATAAAATCAGGAAAAGGACAGTCGTGCATTGCTTAGCAATGGGGACACAGCCTGAGCGTGTGATAGGCCATTCTGTCACTACGCAGGCAGAGTTGCTCACACAAACTAGGACGCCTCCAGCGTCATTAGATCCCGGTCACATGAGGCCACCATCATCACCGCCCGTCATTGACCGAAGCAGCCTCTGTGACACGTGACTGTCTAGACATCTTCAGTAGATAAGATGAGGAAAACAACGCTTCACATGTGTTTTCCCCACACCCACGGGACCCTCCTGGGTGTCTGCTGTGGCAGGAAATGCACCTGGCTCATCCTAACTATAGGATTTTTTGTTGTAGAAAAAAATGGAGAGTGTAGCTGGGCGTAATGGCACACACCTGTAATCCCAGCACCCATGAGGCTGAGGCAGGAGGATTGCTGTGAATTCAAGACCAGCCTGGGCTACAGGGTGAGCTCAAGGCCAGCCTGAACTGCATAGTGAGACACTGTCTCAAAAAGACACACACACACAAAACCCCACACAAAACCAATGGCAAGTAAAGACAGGCAGACACGAGCCACTAGCAGTCTCTTCTGGGCTCCAGCTCCAGCCTATTACATGGGCTGTCACTTCTCAAGCATGTGTCCCTGGGGCCTGGGCCTCCTTGTCCTACATGGTTTCACAGGCATCAAGAAGCCCAAGGAGAAACTGGGAACTTAAGTCAGGTTTCTGGGCTTAGAGCCCAGCTCTGTTGTGTTCCAGTTGTGTGACTTGGGCATATTCACAGCACATGTGCCTTGTGCTGGGGACGGTGACACACACTTGTAATCCCAGCCACTCAGGAGGCTGAAGCAGAAAGATTGCAAGTCTGAGCCCATCCTGGGCAACCAAGTGAGGCTCTGTTTCAAAATAAAAGTAAAAACGCGTTGAGGATAAAGCTCAGTGGTTCAACATCCTGGATTCATCTCCTAGGACTACAAAACAGATAACAAAAAAAAACTCACCTGTGTCTTAACCACTTCATCTGCAAAAAGCTAGTGTATTATTTAGCTGTTGCCACATAACAAACTGCACCAAAACTTGTGGCTTAAAACATCAAACATGTTATCTCAAAGTTTAACTGGGTGTCTGTGTCACAAAGCTACACCCAGGGCTACAGTCTCACCTGTCAGCTCCCCTGAGGGAGATGGTTGCTGGCTATCGATCAGGGACTTCTTCAGGTCTTGGCAATGTGGGAAGGCAGACAGGGCCAGGGTGCAGCTAGCGGTGGAGTAAGTGGCTGTCATGCCCCAGGCCCTGCGAGCTCTAGCCCCAGCAGTGAAAAGAGAAGCAAACGCAGAGCAGCAGGCTTCCATCACAGCAGCAGGGGCAGCACGCGAGGAGTGACCCAGGTGGGAGCCTCGTCCTTTTTCGCTTTCTGTTTTCCTTTTCTTGAGGCAGGGTCTTGCTTTGTACTTCAGGCTGGCCTTTAACTCACTGTGTAGCCCAGGCTGGCCTTGAGCTCACTCCCAAGTGCTGGCATTGTAGCTGTGTCCCACCCTTCTTTTCTCTGGGTGGAGGGGAGTACCAGGGATTAAATCCAAGGCCTTTGTACTGAGCTACATCCCCAACCTTTTTTTTTTTTTTTTAAGACAGGGTCTTGCTAAATGGCCCACGCTGGGCTCCAGCTTGCCACCCTCCTGCCTCGGCCTCCCAGAGTGTGGGGATTATAGGCATGAGCCCCTGTGCACAGCTGCTGGCCATGGTTTTTGTGACCTGTACTCAAAAGTGATAGCCTGTCATTTTTTGCTATATTTAGAAGCAAGTTCCTAGTCCAGAGCCCTCGTGAGACATAGACTACACAGGGCGTGGATGCAGGGGCTGGGTCGTCAGGGCCATCTCACTGGCTGCCTACTGAGCTGTTGCTGTTGTACCTGTCGCAGGGGATATTGAGGTCTTGAAGGAGGTAGCAGAGTTGGGACTGCTGTCCAACTGTGATTTTTTTCTTTGTCACCTATTTGCTTGTCAGGGCCTTGGTTGCCCTGGAAACTGGGAAATGTGGAGCCAGGACAAGGCCTGAGTCCCCAGATAGCCACTGCTGCACAGAGGGACACATGGGTGGGGCCACGCAGCGTGGCCTCTGGAGGAGTCTGCTTTGGGTGGGGGCTGGGCCATGACCCCGGAGATACTTGCTCTTCGAGGCCAGGCTGGTCCTGAGGGAACCTTGGTGCCAGGACCAGGGAGGGCTTCCATAGTTGGGACGCTGCATGGCTGGTAAGAGGGGTCCTCAGGTGACACCACCCTGGCTGAGTGACCCCAGGCAAGTTGCCCTGCCTCTCTGGGTTCCCTCTGAAATGCCTAGTCAGCACCTGCCTTGCAGCTCACAGAGGGGCAGCTGCCAGGCGCACAGGGAGGTGGCATCCACCCTGTCCTCGGGGCTGGCACTGGAGCTCACACCTGTCCCTGCTACACCCACGTCTGCCCTCAGGTGTTCTCCATCGTGGTGTTTGGCTCCATCGTGAACGAGGGCTACCTCAATAGCCCCTCAGAAGGCGAGGAGTTTTGCATCTACAACCGAAACCCCAACGCCTGCAGCTACGGTGTGGCGGTGGGCGTGCTGACCTTCCTCACCTGCCTGCTCTACCTGGCCCTGGACGTCTACTTCCCCCAGATCAGCAGCGTCAAGGACCGCAAAAAGGCCGTCCTGTCTGACATCGGTGTCTCGGGTGAGCCCTGGCGGTGGGGTGTGGTCAGCACCCCCTCCCAACCTCCCACCGGGGTGACTGAGGAGCAGACAGACAAAGAGACAGACTGGCAGCAAGGGCAGGATGAGGCCACGGCAGAGTCTGTGACCTCAGGACAGAAGAGGGCCCTCCAGGTCGGGGACACGACGGGGCTGGGTCAGGTCTTCCTTCAGCACCCTCCCCGGCAGAGCCTCAGGAGAACGAATGAGGGGTGGCCGGACACCCAGCACACAGGCAGTACCTGGGAGCCTCAGTTTCCCCTTTGCCCAGGGCTGGGCAGGTTGTGACCTGCTACCCTCTGACCTTCAGAAGTGGCCGCTGCCATTGGCTCCCTCCCTGCTGTCCCTGGAGTCCCAGGAGTCAGCTTGGTGGATGCTCTGTCAAGTGTCAGAGCCATATGTCAGCCACCCTACCCCCAGACTGGGGACTCGGGTGTCTGGGGAAGGATCTCCCCTTCTTCCGGACCTGGGCCCCTTACTCCTTCTGGAAGGAACCAGGACTAAATTTAAGGTTCTCAGACTTCCACAGAGCCCCAGGGCCCCAGCAGTGCCTCTGTGCGTAGCATATACTTTATCCTGGGCAGCATGGGGCATCTCTGAGTGACCCTGGTCACTACAGTGTCTCCCCGCTAAGTGCCCAGGTCACTGCTCTCCAAGGGGCTTTGTGAGGCTGCAAGGTGCTTCTTGGCTGAGATTCCTAGATCTCTGGACGCCTGAGCAAGGTGGAAGGCAGTGATCCTCTGCCCTGATGGCTGCCAGACCCAGGGGTGGGCTGTGGAGCCGAGGCCAGGCTGTGCTGGGACTGGGTGTCCACACGGGCGGGAGAAGGCGCCTGACTGATGGCCTGCTCTCTCCCCCTGCCCCTCGCTGCTGTCTCCTGCCGTCTGCTCCTGGCCCTCCCTGTCTGCCCCTCCCCTGTGGTCCCTGCTGCCTCTGCCTCTCACCTGCACCTTCTCACCCCCCCACCCCACCCCACCCCATCCCCTGGCGTCACCTGTGGGTGGGGGAGCACGGGAGACCTGCTTTTGAACTGCCCCGTTCCTCTCTTCACCCTGCATGTCACCCCGTCTGTTGTACCTGGCTCTGGGAACGCCCAGCCTTCTGGGCCTTCCTCTGGTTCGTGGGATTCTGCTTCCTGGCCAACCAGTGGCAAGTGTCCAAGCCCAAGGACAACCCGCTGAACGAAGGGACGGACGCAGCCCGGGCCGCCATCGCCTTCTCCTTCTTCTCCATCTTTACTTGGGTGAGTACAGCACTGCGAATCCACACCCCAGGCCCTGGTGGGCAGCTCCGCGCCCTCCCAGCTGTTTGTGGGGTCACAGACCCCACTAGTACTCTGGATGGCACCCAGCACCCCTTTAAGGGCCAAGAAAGCAGAGGCCCAGACAGGAAGGCGGGGCTCCAGGATTTGAGGCTGGGAGGAACCAGGAGACCGTCTTATAGCCTAGAACAGTCCCTACTGTCCTGGCTCCTGTCTTCCATCTGGAAAATGATGGGAAGGAGTGGGGGGGCTCACAAACCTGGGTGCTTGGGCTGGGTGACCCCTGCCTGCCCATCCTAAGAGAATCCTTTCCGCTTGGCTCCTGTTGCCAAGCAGGGATGGGGCCCTGCAGAAGCCAGCCCTTCTGGTTTTCCCCAAAAAGCCAGAAATTGGAGTTTTGGTATGAACTCTGACCTCTATGTATTGGTAGTTTATTCAAGTTTTAAAAAAACCTGTGAGTCAAAGCACATCCCTGGGCCCAGCAGCCCTGAGACCAGTTCAGTGCAGGCATCAGCCAGGTGGTAGACGCCCTGCAGCTCCTCAAAATGCTGGCCCCTCTCTCCCTGAGTCTGAGCCACCCCCTTTCTTCTGTCCTTCTCTTCCTCCTGCCAGATCCAGGGTCCTTTCAGCTCCAAGTCCCATCCCCAGGGCTCCTCTTCCCCTGTCCACAGCTCTGTCCCCCACAAGCCCCTCACAAGGAAACCTCAGGGCTGGTAGACTGGTAGCCAGCCCTCCCCAGTCCCTCGCCTCTCCGGGGTGACTCTCCTGCCCCTACTGAAGATCAAACCCAAGGGCACTCTGCCTCGAGCTACACTCGCAGCCTTTTATTATTTTGAGACAGGGCCTCACCAAGCTGAGTCTCCTGCCTCAGCCTCCTGAGAAGCTGGGATTGCAGCTGTGGCCCACCGCACACATTTCTTTCTCTTGCTGGAGGCCCCTGGATATCCCCTTTCTTCTGCAACATCCAGCCTCCCAACACAGTATCAGCAGGTACAGACCTGCAGTCCAGGTCTCTGTAGGCTAGCTGTGGTCACTGTGGCTCTTGATGTCTTCAACCCTGGCCAGGAACAACAAGGTCACCCCAGGGGATCCCAGTCCAAAGAAAGCACCTGAGAACTGCGGACCAGCAGGCAGCCTCCAGGGAAGAGACTGGAAGCTGAGCCCCGAGATTGGGCGGGGCTCAAGGGAGGAGTGAGTGATTGGATACAGGCTTTCTGGGGGCGGAGCCAACGCTCTGGTTCACAGGGGCCTCGGCCGGCCCCCTGCTCTGTCCAGTCCCCCCAGCGGCCTCACCCTGCTCTCTCTGGCAGAGTCTGACCGCAGCCCTGGCCGTGCGCAGATTCAACGACCTTACCTTCCAGGAGGAGTACAGCACGCTGTTCCCTGCCTCTGCACAGCCTTAGCCACTCCCTCAGCCTGATGCCAGAAGTGTGGGGGACCCCAGGGCACTTAAGATGCACCCCTTACCACTTCCTTCCTTCAGTGCCTTCTCTTTCATTGTTGTGTGTTCATTCATTCAGTAAACATTTATTGAGCAGCTGTTTTGTGCCTATGAAGAGTTAGAGTCCTTGGCCCCAGGAGCCCCCAGGCTGAGGCCAGGGAGACAGACACATCAGAGCTGCCCAGGCTGTTAGTGTGTGTGTGTGGCGGGGGGCGGGCGACTCTGCTTGCTGGGAGGTACCAATGGCCCAAGGTGCTGAGCTGTGGCCACAGTGTGATGGCCTGTCCACAGCTGGGGTGTGAAGGGTGATCTTGTCCCCACTCCCACCCCAGATAGGAGCCAAAGGGATGTAGCCTGGGGTGCTGGGGGATTCTTGGCCTGGTCCTGGCTTCCTGTGCTGGTGGACTGAGGGCCTCAGTCCTCCTCCTTGGGCTGACAGCTGATGACAGACCAGCCTCTCGGGCTGGCTGTGCAGAGGGGACAGGCTGACCCAGGGCTTGGCACAGGGATGCTCCATAAACATAAGCTCTCGTACTTGCTCGCTCAGGCAGTCACTGATTCATTCATTCCCTGGGGAGCTGGGTTCCTCTGTGAGCTGTTTTAGTGGTGGTCTTTGTGAGCCTAACCCGCACTCTGCTGGAGGACTTGGGCCTTGGGCCTGTACAGTTTCCCTCCCTGGGCCCAGCTGCCTGGGCACAAGAGGTGAGGAGCAGCTCCCAAGCCTTGCCAGAGCCAAGTGCACAGGGAGTGAGTGTCCTGGCACAGGAGCCATATAAGTGCACACTGCCTGCTGCCTGGGGGATGCTGCTGAGTGTGCCAGGAAGAACACCAGTGGACCGAGGTCCCTGGGCCCTGAGCGGGACTCTGAGGCCCCCCGCTGCAGCCGGGTCTAGCGTGGTCCTAGGCCTCTCCTTTGTCCCCGTCCTGTGAACTTGGCTACCCAGCCTTGAGCAATACCCAGACCATCCTTGGTGCCTGGGCCAGAGCTGCTCCCTGGGAGAGTCCGCAGAGGGCGCTCCAGCCCCACCCTCCGACAATGGGGCTGGGAGCTCAAGGGACCAGGCCTGTGGACCTGCTCTCAGAGAGTCATCCATTTGTTTGGGCTCCCACAGGCTCACCAGCACTCAGGTTCACCCCTCTACCTCTTGAGGCTCCAGCGCCAAGCCCCCTGTGGCCCTGTGATGACCCGAGGTGCACTCCTCTGCCCCATGTCCCAGGCCCCTATGCTTTTCTTCCCAGGAAGGGCTACCCTAGAGTCCTCCGGGTAATGCCTGACCTGGGCTTCCAGAACCCTCTGGGACAGTACCAAATAGACTCTCTGCCCCGTCTGTTCAGTTGGCCGTTTTGGGTTCCTGGTTAATTTAGTGCTCTGCAGGAGACTGACCAGAGGGGAAGAAGTGATGGGTCCTGGCCTGGGAAGAAGCAAGACCCCTGTGTTTAGGGCTGGGCTCCAGCTCTAACGCCTTCTCTAGGCCTCATTCTCCCCAGTCCCCAGCGGGAATGAGCAGCATAGCACTTCGCACTGCCAGCTGGTGGCCAGCTGCAAAGGTGTGGTGGAGAAGCCTTCGCCATAAACCTTGAGGCTCTTCTTGTTTGTAGTACTGGAGGTTGAACCCAGAACATCCCCAGCTGTGTTTTGGTTTGGTTTTGGTTTGAAACAGTCTCGCTAGGTTGCCCAGCCTGAGCTCAGGCTTTGCAGTTCTCCTGTCTCAGCTTTCCAGAGTGGTGGGATTACGGGCGTGCACTGCTGTCTTACCTGCTCAAGGCTGGTTTGAATGACAGTTTAACTCTGTAGTTTGTCATGGTCAGTGTCACTGTTCTTAAAACAATAGCTTTACTGAAAAAGGTGTCTGACAGGGATATGTGCTGCAGTCACTGCGCTATGTGAGAAGGGCTTTGGCGCTCAGGCGAGACTGGCAGGGGTGCTTGTCAGAGTTCCCCGAATAGTCAAGGCTCTGGCAGTCAAGGCCAGGTCACCCCGAAACTTCTTTCTGTTTTCCTCAGTTCCCTATCTTTGTTTGACCAGGTGTTTCAGGCTCAGCAACAGTGATGGAACTCCTAAATGACAGTGACTTAAAGATAAGTCTGGGAGGGACTAGCATAGTGACTCAGGCATCTTCAGTGACCCAAGCCTCTGCCACTCTCATGCTCTATTTTGGTAATTAGAGCTCTAGCCATTGTATATGCATTCCAGGCATCAGGTCAGAGGGAAGGACAGAGAGCATGGAGATAGCTCCTTGGTCAAAACTCAGTCATATGACTATGTCTAGCTGTCAGATCTAGAAGGATAGCGTTTAGGAAATGCCAAGAGATCTCTGTGCTATTAAAAAACATTTTTCCCCATTCTGCATTAATATCCCTAAAGACACAGTTGGAGAAGACTGGAGATTTTTGGGCCCCCTTAACCTTCCACAGTGGAGATGAACATTTCCAGTGACCTGGGCCACATGGGGCTGGATGTTGTGGTTCTGGCCTCTGGATGGCTGGTGGTAGCAGCTGGGACAGCTTGGCTTTGCATCTGGTGCTTTGAGGATCTTTAACCCTGTGTCCTGTTGACTAACAACTACTAACCCAGTGCTCTTGTCTGTCTCTCCCCTAACCACCCCCTTCCTCCCATCCTTGTCCCCGTGGCCCGTCCCCAGGCGGGCCAGGCCGTGCTGGCCTTCCAGCGGTACCAGATTGGCGCCGACTCGGCCCTCTTCTCCCAGGACTACATGGATCCCAGCCAGGACTCCAGCATGCCTTACGCCCCCTACGTGGAGCCCAGCACAGGGCCGGACCCCGCCAGCATGGGCGGCACCTACCAGCAGCCGGCCACCGCCTTTGACACAGAGCCACAGGGCTACCAGTCCCAAGGCTACTGAGCCTCAGTGACCGCTTGCCCCACCCCCTCCCTCTTCCCCAGCCCTGCCCCACCCTGCCCCATGCCCATTCTGTCCAGCACCTCCACACTTCCAGGTCGCTCCATGGAGGCCCAGGGCGGCTTGGGGCAGGGATGGGTCACCAGGTGTGGGAGTGTCTACCTGTGTGTGCCAGCGTGTCCAACCCCAGCGGGGCCTGGAAGGTGGGACCGGGACAGCGCATTCATTCCGTGTCCATGAGCACTCGAAGTGCTACTGGGCCCAGGCCCGTGCTCACCATGGGGGTGAGAGGCAGTGCTGCTCCCTGGAAGGGGGACACTGAGGAGGGGCCCTGTCAGTACCGAGGTGGGGGGGATGGTAGGACAGAGATGGGTATGGTACTGAGAAGTCTAGCCATGTGGGGGCTCAGTCCCGGCACATGGGCTGGCACCCCCAGACTCCCCCTGTGATAGCCTGATGGGCTTGGTGAGGCTGTCCCCACTGTATGGTGGAGGAAACCAAGGCCCGGGGAGGACAGGGTCGCTCACCCAGGGTCCCTTAGGCAGCTGGCATAGGGGCAAGGCCACACTCAGGCCACCCAGACCCCTAGCTCCTGCCTGCTGCTCTTTCCTGTCCACTGTCCCCAACCCCAAGCCTGGGGCTCCTTCGCTCGGTGTTACCCTCATTGTGGGAAATTTGGGGACCTTGGCCCCAAGAGACACCCAGATTCTGCTGCAAGTCAGCTCTCCCCCAGCTGCTTGCTGGCCTCCCATCACTCACCGACCCTGTGCTCTGCCTGCTGTCCCACAGGGCGCTCAGCAGCCCCCTCTATGGCCTCTCGGGGGATCACTGTCCTCGACATTCAGGCCAGGAGGGGGTGGACCAGGAGGCCAGGGTTCTTCAAATGAGTGGCAGCACTGGCTTCCTGCCTCCACTTCTTGCCCCGAGTCACCCAGCAGGTGCAGATTCCCCACCCTGTGACCTCCCTGGAAATGGAAGTGACCTGGGTGGGACACGGGGTCAGGCTGGATTCGGAGTTGGGGCCCTGTGGGTGTGGGGAGGTCTCTGGGAGCAGGAGGCAGGGTCAGGTAGAGTCACAGGGCAGATGGTGCACGAGCCCATGGGGGGTGCTGCCCCAGGAGTACAGGGAGAGCCTTAGAGTGAGAAAGGGGAACTGATGGCACCAAACGCACAAAAGGGCTCGAAGGGCCAGGCAAGCACCCTCTAGGAATAGGAGAGCAGCACATCTGTGCCCTGCGCATGCTGGGGAGCAGAGCAGAGGAGCTCTGGGTGGCCCAGGGGGACAGGGTCCCTACCACCATCATCCTAGGCCTCCCAGGATCCAGCAAGTCAGGCTACTCACTGGCCCTTTGTGGCACCTGGGCTGGAGAGTCCCAGGGTGTGTGGGCTCTGCCTCCCAGAGCTCCCGGCCGCTAGGGGCGGATAAGCACTAAACACGGTACAGAGTCTGCCGCCGGTAGGGCACACAGTTCACCTGTGCTGGGGCAGGGGCTCCTGAGGCAGGGTCCTGAGGGAGCATGGGTGCTGGGGAGGTGGGCGCTTTAGGCAGACAAGTACTGTCACTCTCCCCACTTACGAGAAGGGGAAATGTTCTGAGCACAAGTGAGTTAGCAGTGAAGCACAGATGTGAACTCATCTGTTCCAGGCCCCCCAAGGGCAGCAGTGATGGGAGAGGCCCCTGCCTGTTGCTGATTTCCATTTTCCACATCTGAGGAAGGGGTTCTCTTGACCACCCCCACCTGGTGCCTGGATTGGGGACGGCATCGGGGTCAGTTACCTCTGCCCTGAGCATCCCTGGTGGGGCCACAGTGGCTGTGGAAGTGCTTCCAGCTGGTACAGTTCTGTGCCCACTGCAGGAGGTTGGGATAAGTCCCAGCCCCACCAGGAGACCCCCCTGCTGTGGGCCCAGGGAGACTCCATCTCTCCACGGGTACCAGTCAGCTGCCGGCTGTGCTGGCCGGAGGGCAGGGTGCCCTTAACCTCCAGCTGATCCTGGACGTGTATTGGAGACTGGCCCTGCTGCTCAGGCTGTGGGCACTTACAAGACCCTGGGCAGGAGTGGGGCTGCTGAGTCATCTCAGTAAGCACCCCCTCATTCCTGGGTACAGCCTATTGGGGGTATAGCCCCTGGGTATAGCCTGATACAGACCCCCAGCATGGTCCACCACTGGGCAGGACCCTGGCAGGGACCCCAGTAGAAGGGAGAGGGAGACAGGGCAGGGTTGGGATGAGACGTAGACTGCTGATTCCGTTACTGGGGGTTCCTGGGGGGTCCCACCCCCGCAGGCCAGCAGCACCTGTCACCCCCTCCTCCTCCTGCCCTCTGCTTGCACTTGCTCCCACACTATCCTTGGGGAAATGCCCCTTCCAAGTCCTGTGGAGTTTGGGCCCCTTCTCCCCATCAAGTACAAGAAGGGGCCCAGGATACTGGGGTTCCATATAAGTTTAGAGCTGGGACAGGAAGACAGTGACTTATCCTAGGTAAAGCACAGAGAGAGGTGGAGAGCCCAGGCCTCTGCTTTCTGCGTAGACAGGAGCCTGGGTGGTTCCTGACACAGCTGGGGGTGTGACGTGGATGGACAGGCTCCCAGGAAGCAGCATCGGCTCCCCAGTCCATTCTGCCCTGGTGATTCTTGATCTTCAAAGACTTGGGGTCCCTGGCTTCTCTCATGTAACCAAGACCCCTACTTGTTGTCTTAGGGGACCCTAACCTTGGTCCAAGACCCTTTTGATTCTCAAAGGAGCAAAAAGGGGGAACCCCCACCCCAGAGTTTGTGGAGGATGGCCTGGCCCAGCTGTCTCCCAGCGCTGCCCCCCACCCCAGCGCCCCACACCCTGGTGCCCACAGCCCTTGTCTGGGTGCCTGGCCCCTTTGCAGCGTTACTGCCTGTGTATAGTATAAATATATATATTTTCTATATATAAGATGTATAATTTAAGCTCCACAAATATATCTGTGTGCAGTGAAGGACGGGCCCTGTCCTGGCCCCTGCTCTCGACCCCCACCACCTGGTTAAGTCTCTCAAGAGTGAATCCAGTGGCCCCGGGGCCCCCTCCTTTCTGACATCCGTCCATTTGTGGTGAACAAGTGAAGGTGGTGACTCCTGGTGACATAGTAATAAAGTGAAGACTCAGAACCCACCAGCGCATCGCAGGTGCGTCCCAGCGTTTCTTTGTTCTCTCGAGTGTGGCTTGGGTTGCCTGACACCATCTCCCCTGACCTGGGCTAGGTTTATTATTGTTTTAAAATCTTAGTTACACAGTGGAGTTAAGACCATGTTCTCCTTTGAAAAGTAGAATCACTGCAGTTGTAGCCCAGATCCCCACCTGACATGTATGTGCACACACACACACACACACACACACACACACACTCCTCTCTTGCCTGACCCTTCCTAGCCCCAGAGGAAGCCAAGGTAAGGCTTTTTCCTTTGTATGTACATCTTGATAACCGGACTCATTCTTGACAGTGACCCTAGAAAGTCCCAGGCAGTTAGTTCTGAGCCCTAGAGTTCAACATGGAGCCAGGCAGAGACCCTGTCCTGACAGACACAGCCACCTCGGGCAGGGGGTGTGGGTAGGGAATAAAATCAACTTGCAAGCAAATGTGAGTGTGGACGCGGGGTGTGAGAAGGTCCAAAGATGCAACTGAGACCAGGAGGAACTGACACAGCTTCTAGCAGGTGACACAGCCTGAGCTCTCTGGGAGGCAGGTGGATGGGTGGCCGGGTTGGACTGGTGACTTCTAGAGATCTGGCTGGGGGAGAGGCAGTGGGAAGCCAGAAGGACGGGCAGGATAAGGGTCAGGCTAGGGGATCTTTGAAAGACCCTTGCAGGCCTCCGTAGGGGTTGGGTCATTAGTGCCAGGACAACACTGAAGGATGAGTGGCCAACCTGGTGTGGCGGGATGGATGCAGTCAGGAGGCTTGTGCGGATAGAGTGCCAGGATGAGGTAACAGTGGCAAAAAGCAAGATTTGGGGAAGCGCCAGGCAACAAATAACATGGGTAAGATGTGACAACTCTGGTCGGGGTGGCGCTGAAGCTCCGGTGTGAAGGAAAAATCAGTGAACCAGGTCCTCAATGTGGCTGTCAATCACAGTGCTGGCCATACCCCCACACGCCCGAGCGTGGGTGAATAAGCCAATCAGATTGACTCCCTCCAGGATGGGGCATTGGGATTGGTCAAGCCAAGTGGGAAAGGCCAGTGACCGGTGGAGAAAGCGAGATAGGCAGATGTCAAGGTCCCGGTTCCGTTTTATCCGTGCCCGGCCCCCACCCTGCAATCTTTAAGGCGGCTTCTGCCAGAGCTCCTCCAAATCAAGAGCCCCAACACCCCTCTAGAAGGCTGACCCTGCGCTGCAGAAAGCCCATGGGGAAGCAGTTATAGGAAACAGCTGGAGAGAGTTCCAGCTAGGGACTGCGGGTGCGTGACCCACCCTGCTCGCGCGTGCGGTTAACAATTCTCATCTGACGGCCTCTTCCCCCAAAGGCTTCCGGAGACCAAGCAGTGTGGTGGCCTGCCAGATGGCAGGAGGTGCGGAGCTGGTCCTGTCTTTGCTCAGTAGTCACGCCACCCCCAGGCGTGCACCCCTGCAGTCTGCGCTCTTCCGAAGCCGGAGCGCCCTCACCTACTCTACCTGCTGCATCTCCCACCCGGCTCTGCCACCTGCTGGGTGATCCCAAAGCCAAAGGCAGGCTCTTCAAGAAGATGCTCCCAAAGGGATGACTTGGACAGCCGGGCGTGTCAGCCTGCTAAGTTGGCCAGCTGTCTATACTGTGATGTGGTTTTGTTTTTACAATACTGGTAATTAAACCTAGGCCCTCATGTATGCTAGGCATGCTCTCTACCACTGAGCTATTTTGATAGCTCTATTTTTAAATTTTAAAACAGGGTTCCTCTAAGTTCCCTAGGCCAAACTCCAATTTGTCATCCTCCTGCCTCAGCCTCCTGAACGGCTGAGATTACAGACACATACTACCATGCCCCACATGATGTAGCTTTTAAAACTGTTACAATTGATGGTCAAGCTTTGGAGTTGAGAATTATTAGAGACCTGAAAGAGTTTTCACTAAGTTAGAACAATTTAAGAAAGTATTAATTCTTATTTGAAAATACTACTTTTCAAAATACTGATCCTGGGGCTGGGGATTTAGCTCAGCGGCATAAGCGCCTGCCTTCACGCAGGCAGTCGTGAGTTCGATCCCTGGTACCAATAAAAAGGAAAAAGAAAAAAAAAAAAAAAAAGATCAAAATACTGATCCTTTATTTTTCAAAGACATATTTACTTATGCAAAAATATCAAACAACAAAGCTTTACGGTGTAAATTACTCTATCATAATTGGCAAGGCCAAATACAAAAATGAAAATGCAAAACCTCTTGTTCCAAAAGCAGTTGACTGAGGCAGGAGGGTCGCCCTGAGTTCAAGGCCATCTGGGCTACATAAGGCAGCCTGAACTCTGTAGCAAGACCCCGTCTCAAAAAAAAAAAAAAAAAAAAGACAGTAGAAACTAGTGCACTAACAGACTAACAGGTACTAAAATAGAACGCTTTTTCCATTCAAAATATTCTATTACAAAAATGTAACAGTGGTTCCTGAGTAACACCACAAATTTATAATTACAAAAATATTTTGCTGTCATTTTATATAAAATTATAGTAATACCAAGTGAATGTGAGAACATGGCTGATCATAGGATTCCTCTGGTTCGATTTTTCTGTGAATTGAAGTCATCAAATCTTACACTTTTGGCAACTTCATTTAAGTTGAAAACTACAGTAGTTATTTTAAGCAAATACAAGAGAACTTTTTAAAATAATTGTAAATATTGAGAGGGATCTTTCTGGTAGTGCCACAGTGACTGTACCCACCAAGTATGTATCACAGAAACCAGATGTGGTGGCACACACCTTTTGTCCTGGCTCTCAGGAGGCTGAGGCAGGAGGATCACCAGGAGTTCGAGGCCTGTCTGGGATACAGAGTGAGTTAAAGGCAGCCTGGACTATATAGAAAGACCCTGTCTCTAAAGAACAAACGTTGGAACTGAGGATTTAGCTCAGCGGCCTAAGTGCCTGCCTTACAAGTATGTGGTTGTGAGTTTCGTGTGTGGTTGTGAGTTTCGATCCCCGGTACTGATAAAAAAGGAAAAAGACAAAAACAGAATATCTTATAGGCTGTCACATAAAGTGAAATTTCTGACAAATTTCAAATATAAATTTTAGTATCACAAACACTGCTGATTCTTGTGAAACAGTTTTTCCAAAAGAGTTCAATTGCCTATATCAGTTTCATCAAAGTCTGAATTCAATCTCACCTGTCACTTTGTGGTTTTTTTTGTTGTTTCGTTTTTTTCTTTTTTGGTGGTTCCGGGGATCAAACTCACAACCTCCCTCTTGCCAGGCAGGTGCTTATGCCTCTGAGCTAAATCCCCAGCTCCACCTGTCACTTTGTATGGCGATGTTCAGTGCTTCCTCTGACAGTTTCTGCAACTTGCAGGGCTTGTAGAAGGAACTGAACATGACTTCATGATTTGCATATAATTTGAATAACATATTTATGCGATTTGAGTGCTGTATCTTCACTTACAGGGAAAACTTCACCTGGAAATTGCCTTCCTCATTAACAGTGAAACTTTACATGAATGCATAATTGCTTTCCATGGCATGCAGTGCTCTTTTAATTTCTGCCTAAGCTTGTGGGCTGCAGCACTTTCAAAACCAGGGATCCTAAGTGCCTTGCAGGAGTCTAAGTGGTCCTTATGGGCTTCCGTGTGCCATCCAGGTGTAGCTTTCGTCCTATAACCATCTGCTGAGGAGCTCCCCCTGTACCCCTGCGGCAGGGATGGCCACTCTGTGTGCTGTCGCTGCCTGTCACTTCCCTTCCGCGGCCCCAGCGGGCTGCAGCCACTGCCAGTTTGTTCTGCTGCTCTCATCTGGGCACATGTCGCAGCCCCACAGTCTCTTCTCAGCCCCACAGTGATCCAGATTGCCCAGCCATGTGGGTGCCCATCAGGTGGCCAGGGCACTTGTGCTGCCCACCATGTCTCTGCCCAGTCTCCCTGCCATGTAATTTCTGTTCTCTGGATTTGCTTACAAAACACAAGGTTCAAAGATAAAATTATTAAGAGTTTCCACACACAGCATTTCACAGCCAAAGGCAGAGCTTGTGTGTGTGTGTGTGTGTGTGTGTGTGTGTGTTACTGGGAATTGAACCCAGAGCCCTTACACTGAGCTGGATCCCCAGCTCTTTTTATTTTTCATTTATTTTTATCTTTTTGACACAGGGTCTCATTATGCAGTTCAGGCTGGCCTTGAGCTCACTTTGTAGCCCAGGCTGGTTTCTTGAACTTACAATGATCCTCCTGCTTCAGCCTCCCAAGTGCTGGGATTACAGGCCTGTGCCACCACATCCAGCACTTCTTTTTAATTTGTTGTATTAGTAGGCTGCCCAGACTAGTCTCAAATTTGTGATCCTTCTGCCTCAGCCTCCTAGAATGCTAGAATTAATAGCATGTGCTGCCACACTGATTCAAGATGATCCTGTTCTACAGATGAAGCTCTGCTACATGGCACCGCTGGGTCCCTTGGGGCAGAGCCTGACTCTAGCGGGTCATATGCTGGCACTGACACCCAGGCTCTTAGCCACTCTGCTCCTCTTATTAAGTTTGTGGCATATGCTCGTGGTGACTCAGTCTGTTTTTAATGTGAAAATCCTCCTGCCCTGCATGTTTTTCCACAGGCCAAGGCTACCGCTGTGGTTACCCTCTGTCGCCTGTGCTTGCCCAGCTCTGGTGTCTTCCCAAGTTCTGTCCCAATTATGTGTCCTAGAAATGCCACTTCAAACATTTCAAGGCTTCAGGCAAAATGGAAGCCCTTTCCTCCAGCCCCTGGAGTCTGCAGACTGCACACCTGCCTTCGGCGGTGCTGTGAGGGGAAGCCTTCTGGTTAGCGCATGCATCCCCAGTCTCTGTGCCTTTTCTCTATCCGTGTGCTTGTTCAAGCTTGTTGTGGCTTTTTTGTTTTGATGGTTGTTTTTTTGTGGTAATGGGAATAGAAGCCTGGGCCTTTGCACTGAGCTTTACCTGTTTTTTTTGTTTGTTTGTTTTGTTTTGTTTTGTTTTGTTTTTGAGACAGGTTCTCACTATGTAGTTCAGGTTGGCCTGGATTCACTGTGTAGCCCACTTCAAACTCGAAGTGACCCTCCTGCCTCAGCCTCCTTCCTGAGTACAACTGGGCGTTACCATGCGTGGCCCCTTTCTTACTTCTTTTCTTTTTTTTTTGTCTTTTTCATTTTTATCAGTACTGGGGATCGAACTCACTACCGCCTGCATGCAAGGCAGGTGCTTATGCCGCTGAGCTAAACCCCCAGCCCCTCCTTTCTTATTTCTGAGTCAAGCTCTCACTAAGTTGCCCAGGCTGGCCTCCAACTTGAGATCATCCTGCTTCAGCATCCTGAGTAGCTGGGATCACAGGCCTGAATGACCGCACCCAATTTACTCTCACAGCTTTAAATGTCTGCTGTACACTAACCTCACTCCCGTGCTCATCCCCAGCCCTATTTCTCCAGGTACTTTATGCCGAGGCATCTGTCTGGTCCCCATCTCCCAGCTAAGGTGCTCAAAGTCAGACTCCTTATGTCCCTCTCTGAATTTGCTCCTCCCAGCTCAGCAGATGGCAGCTCCATCTTGCACAGACCAGAGGCAGCACCCTGAAGCCATCCTCAGATCCCGTCCTTCTTTACACCTGATGTATCGGCAAGTCCTCTCTGCTCTTGCTAACTCTGACCAGTTCTCTCCTGCTGTGACCACCCCAGGCCAAGCCACCAAGTGACACGCTGGTCCCTTCCTCTTGGCTCGAAGCACCAGCAGCCATGACGATGATGGTGATCACAGTAACTGCTCACACTTACAACTGGTATTGCCAGATACTGCTCTAAGGTCTAACTTTCACCACGTATCCCCAGCCGGGCTGGAAATTGTGTCTCAGGATCCCAAGTGTTAGGATTACAATATACAACATTAACTCCAGTTTATATTAACTTTATTTAGTCTTCAAATAACCACACAAAGTGAATATTATTATCATCCCCGTTTTATAGGTAACAAGAGCCAAGCACAGGAAAATAACTAGTCCAAGTCACCCAGCTGGAGGGGTGGAACTGGAATCCAAAGACCAAGAAAGACTTAACCATCGAGCATTTAACTTGAGGCATAAGCCTCGATCCAGTGAACCCCTCCCTTACTTTTCTACTGTAAATTTGTACCGTAGCCTTAGAGTAGCTCGCTGTGTACCTCAGTACCCGTCCCTGAGGGGCACAAGAAGCAATCTATGTGTTTACCCACTTGGTATGGTGATCGATAAGGAGTGGGCCTATATGCAAAAGGGGCAAAATAGATTTGGACCCACTTTTGTGCTCTAACTGGTTCTCCCATATATTTACCCAAGCATCATAGAGGGTCCAATAGACCCACACCACTCTAGGATTTGTTTTTCAAAAATTTTTTCTTTTGATTGTTCTGGGACAAGTAGCCCAATTGAGTACAATGGCACATGAAAAGCCAGATATGCGAGTTTTGGGGGAGGTAAAAAGTGAATCATCAGATTACTCATGCATGGGTGGTAAAGATGATCCATTATGGTAAAACGCGTGCTTTCATAACCCAAGAGTGTTACGGCTGGATGATGGTAATGATGATGATGATGACGAATTTGATGTGCACCATGTGAACCAAAGTTCCTGTGACAGTGAAGTGGAGTCAGAATTGACTGACACAGACACAGGGAATGCAGGCCTCCTTGAATCAGATGACAAAGAAAACAGCAACATAAATATGTATTTGACTGGTTGAAATGCTGTGAATGGCCACAACCAAATGGAAAGATCCGATGCTAGGCCTAGGTCCGAAAATGCAGTGAGGGCCTCGGCAGGGCTGAAGCACACTGGACAGAAGCCAGCACTGCTGTTCACTGCTGGGAGCTGTAACAGGCGAAGTGCTGTGAGATGCTGTGAAACACACTGAGGCTGAAATGCGAGTAAAACTTTCTGTATACACCAATAGTCATATTCAAAAATGTATTTACTATGACAGCTCACTAGCCGAACTGATGCATTCACAGGTCTGCTGTACTTGGCACAGACTTCTCACGGTCTAACTGCACCAGCCGGGGCATCTTTCCCTTGGGGTCTGGTCTTCAGATGTTGACTTCCTTGAGAGCCCAGTTCCTCTCTGACTACATATTAGTTTCTTTCTTTCCTTTTTTTTTTTTTTTTTTTTTTTTTTTATACTGGGGATTGAACTCATGACCACGTGCTTGCAAGGCAGGCGCTTATGCTGCTGAGCTAAATCCCCAGCCCTATATATTAATTTCTATCTAATCAAACTGTGTATAATAAAGGTACATCTCACAAGGACAGGGGCTTTATCACTGCTCTCCCCAGAATATCACAGTGCTTCACTGAGGTTGTGTTGGTGGATGAATGAACTTTCCACCAAAGTTCCTCTTTCCCCTGGATTCACGCCCCTTGCTAAAAAGTATCCCCTCTTCATTGAAAAGAAAGTTTTGTGCAATTATCTGTTTCTTTGTGGGAGAAATCTCTTGTTTTTTGAGTAACTATTTCGAAGATAATGATACATGGTATGTTAGCTGTTGTTATTCTCTTATTTTTTGTTATAAAATTTTGTTTTATTTTTTTCACAAAAATAAAAGGCAGTCCCCACCCACCTATCCAACTCACTTCCCTGGCAATATGATCCAAGATTGTTCCTTTCTTCAAAAATTCAAGCATCCAGGGCCAGGGATTTAGCTCAGCAGTATAAGCACCTGCCTGGCAAGCCTGAGGTTGTAAGTCTGATCCCCAGAACCAAAAAAAAAAAAAAAAATTAAGCAGCTCCCAAACCATGATGTGCTGGCCCATTCCTGCAATCCCAGCCTCTGAGAGGCTGAGGCAGGACGATCATAAGTTTGAGCCAAGCCTGGTCAATCTAGTGACTTATTAAGACCCTAACGTTACATTTTTAACATAGACGGGCTGGGGTTTTAGCTCAGTGGCTCAAGTACCTGCCTGGCAAACATGAGATTGTGCTTTTGATCCCCAGTAACCACCCCACAAATTTAACTAGGGGCTAGAATGCAGCTCAGTGTGAAGTCTGGATTCAATCCCAGTCACATGTCCATGTGCACGTGTGTGTGCACACACACGCGCGCGCGCACACACACACACACACACACATACACACATGCACGCACTATCTGGCTCAACTTCCTGTGCTCCCTGATGCCCCTGCCTGGGTTCTGCCTTCCACAGCGCAGGCCTGGGGTGCACACCCTGAGACTCCACACGTTTTAGATTCAGCGTCCTCTCCTCCCTCTTGGTGTCCTTTTCGCTGTTCCCCAGCCCTTCCAGGACCTGGACTGCTCCCATCGAGTGCTCATCCCTGCCCACGTCCACCGTCCACCCGGCTGCCCACTCCCAACTCCCAGTCTGCTCCCCCAGTCTTTCTGTTCAACTGACTGCAGTATTTTTAAGAACTTCCCATTTTCTTTCTTTTTTTTTTTTTTTTTTTGTCTTTTTCCTTTTTATCGGTACCAGGGATCGAACTCACGACTGCCTGCTTGCAACGCAGGCGCTTATGCTGCTGAGCTAAATCCCCAGCCCCCCATTTTCTTTCATCTTTGTGGCTGCCGCCTTAGTCCCAGCCACCACCCTCTCTCATCCGGGTTGACTCAGTGGCCTCCCAGTCTCCCTGCCTCCTGTCTGGTCCAGCCTGCTCTTCCTAAATCACAGATCTGACCACACGAGCCCCACTTCATGGGCAGCTAAGTTCACCAGCCTCCTCCAGGTCCCCCCTAGCTCCCAGCACACCTGACTTCTGCCACTGCCCACTCCTCACCCCAGCAGTGATCGTCCATCGCTTGAGGCTTTGTTGTTTTTTATTTCTCCTGTGCCTGCCCACCCTGTTCCTCTCCTCTCCTAGGCCCAGCTCAAAGGTCAGCTCCCTCAGTCTCCCTGCCCTGTCTCCCCTAGGAGAATTCACTGCTGCTGCCCGCCCTGCTCCTCTCAGCCCTGATGAGCAAGGTCACCTTGGCCAGGGGGTGGCAGGCTGGAAAGAAGTTTGGGGCCTGCTGGTAAGGCCTCTGACACACCTTCTGTGTATCTGGAGCTGCTGCCAGCATTCCAGGTCCAGTGGCAGAAGCGTGCGGCATGGGAGGTGGGGATGGAGCCAATACTTTGGAGCAGGTCTTGTATCCCCATGCTAAGGCTCTTGATATGCAGACCCATGCTAAGGCTCTGGCTGGGTCACTCCGTTTAATCCTCAGAACCATCCTGGAAGGCAGGGATTTAGAAAGAAAGACACCAGTACATAAGATTAGCAAGACACAGGCTGGGGATATAGCTCACACAAGTACCTGCCTGCCAAGTGTGAAGTCCTGACTTCCATTCCTGGTACAAAAAAAAAAAGAGCAAAACACACAGAGGTAGTGTCTCCAAGCAGACGCAGCGGGAAGAAGAGATTATTCAATAAATGTTACACTTTTTTTTTTGTCTTTTTCTATCGGTACCAGGAATCGAACTCACGACTGCCTGCTTACAAGGCAGGCGCTTATGTTGCTGAGCTAAATCCCCAGCCCAATAAATGAATTTAATAAGACCTTGTCTCTGTATTTGGAAATAATAAAGTTGGGTCCCTGACAGCGCAAAAAGAATTCTAAATGGAGATTAGCACTTACACATTTATACAAATTTGAGACAGGAAAAGCTTTTGCCAGCATAGCACAGAAGGCAGGGATCATAAAGGAAAATATTGATTTGGCCATATAAAAATATAAAAGTTTAATATGTGCAAAAATAAAGAAAATGAAAACTGGGGGAAATAGTTCTAACATATTATCAGATAGAAATATAGTTTCAGCACTGAAACAGAAAATTTGCATATGAAAAAATATAAATGAACCAATATACAGATCCCTAAAAATTCAATTTTTCTAGTAATCTGAGAAATTCAAATTAAGACAATTTTCCAGGTATAGTGGCACATGCTTGGGAGGCTGAGGCAAGAGGACTGCCGCAAGTTCCAGGCCAGCCTGGGTTACATGGTGAGTTCAAGGCCAGCCTGAACTGCACAGTGAGATCTGTCTGAAAAACAAAACAAAATAAAAAGGCCAGGATTTAGTTCAGTGGCATAAGCACCTACCTGGCAAGCATGAGGTCATCAGTTTGATCCCTGATACCCCACCAAAAAAAAAAAAAAAAAAACCTAAATAAATAAAATTTTAAACAATTTTTTTCAGTACTGGGGCTTGAACCCAGAGCTTTGCACATGCTAGGCATGAGCCAAATCTCCACACTTATTTTTTATTTTGAGATAGTCTTGCTAAATTCCCAGGCTGGCCTCAAACTTGCAATTTTCCTGTTTCAGCCTCCCGAGTAGCTGAGATTACAGATATGCACCACCATGTCCAACTGAAATGTCATTTTCAATCTACAAATTATCCTCTATTAGTGTAAACAAAATGACCCTAGCATGGGGAGCCACAGGAGGTTAACATTGCTAAGCTAGAAACTCCCATTGCGAAGGTGATGGCAGTTTTGACATTAAAGGTCAGGAGAGGGAATTTGCCTCCTGTTCCTTTTGTTCTCAAAAAACCACCTTGATGGATCTTCATGGTGAGGCACCTGTGAAACAAAAACTTTGCGGCTCTTGGGAAAACCTAAAGCCAGCAGTTTGGACTAAGGTGTTAGGTATCTAGTTACATAAACTGAATTTAAACATTTTTTTATGAACGTTCCTGGTTTTATTCTGTTTTTGTTTTACTTTTATGGTTTTTCTGGGGATTGAACTCAGGACCCCATGATTGCCAGGCAGGTGCTTGTGGCACTGAGCTAAATCCCCAGCCCAGAATTTAAACAAGTTTAATAGTACATGAGAAAAGTGCGTGTGTCCAGCCATCTGCATTCAGGAGGACGATTGGTGGAGACAAAGCTGACCAGTCCAGAATCTCTGCAGGGAGCTGATTTCAGCAGGGACCCACCGGTTTGGGCTGCGGGGCTACAGGTGATGGAGGCCACCTGACCTTGGAAGATGTAGTCATTTGCTCTGACGGTCTGGCCTGGCTGCAGAGCTGTGCAGCTGAAGCAGGCTTTGGGCCCGAGGGCCGATTTCTCTTAATAGTGGGGAAGAAGGGCACAGAGTCTGTATGCTGGGCAGGTGAGTCAAAGTCAAGGATACTCCTGCTGCTGGAGATCAGCCAGTCCCTGCACCAAAAGCAGTGAGGGCTAAAAAGGGAGGTGCCCGCTGCTGTCCCAGTGGAGGGTCCCAGACCCCTAGCTTGGGTGGCAGCTCCTCCAGTTCAAATCTGCAGATTGCTCCAAACCTGCTTGAGTCTGGGGGCTGAGGTCTAGAGATATCACTGATGCCCCATCTCAGGAGAGGAGGGCGGTGACCAAGAGGACAACACATGGCACCTCAGTCAACCCACAACAAGCCAAGGCAGTGAGCAGGAAGCACTGCTCTGGGACCAGGGGACCTCACCCCAGAAGGCAACCTCGTGATGCCTGTTGTCCTGGCTCAGGTTGTTTCTACTGGACGTTAAAGAGCAGGCAGGGAGAATTTGAGGACCTTGTGCAGGCGAGGGGTAGGGGACAGGTTCTTTTAGACACTGGTGATTGAAAATTGCAGCTGGAAGCCAATTTCCTATTATCCCTTCATGACTCTTTCATGTCCTCCAGTCACCCTGCAAATCGTATCTGCAAGCCAGTGTAGCTGCCACAGCTAATGATCACACCAAGGGAGTGAGTGGAATCTGATGCCTCGGAGGAGCTGTGGACACTATGGCAAGAGGGGGTGTCTGACACCCCCTCCCCAAGGGCCTTCTCGGCCCCCAGAAGGTGGCCTGAGGACACACTGCACAGCTGCAGTATTTGGGGTCTAGAAAGCCATGGTGTGGTTATCTGATGTTGGCCATGTACGGCTTCCACAGTTCCCTGGGGACCCTTGGCCACACTGGGTGACTGGATGATCTGGTGTCCACGACAGGGCCAGATCGCACAAAGGCTGTTAAACAGTTATCAAGGCTGGTGATGGTGGTGTTTGTTTCTCTGGTAGATGTACATTTTAAAGTGACTGAAGACCACTCACTGTGACACATGCTGTTGTCCTAGGGAAAGCAGGACCCACTTTATAGCTGCCTTCTGGGCACATTGTCCCCAGAGCGGAAGGGGCCTATCCTCACTAGACTTCCTTGTCTCTGCCTTGTAGACCTGGGAGCTCAGCACGCTGCAAACAGAAGGTGCTGACTTAAAAAAAAAAAAGAAGGTGCTGACTTAACGCTTGTTCTTCCCTTGCTATGCTGAGCACAGTTATCTTCTTAATGCCCAGGAAAGCCAGACTCCAGGATATTTAGAGGAAGAGCCTGCCACTGTGAGCTGTTTAGGGGGTTCCGTGTGGAAAGAGGATGAGGGGAGACCAGAAGCCCAAGCTACAGTCCCAGCTCCCACTGAATCGCTTGGGGACCCTTGGACTGCTGTCTGTCAATTTCCTCATTAATCAGTGTGTCCATTAATCTCTGCCCCTGGCTCTTTAACTGATTGGATCCTGAAAATATTTGTGAGCAGCTTCCCAGAGCCCATGAGGACACATGGGGCAGAACTGCTGGAGATCGGACTCTGGGAAGTTCCCTGCAAACAATAACTACTGTTTTAAGTGACCAAAAGCAACCAAAGGTGTCATTCCTGGGATATGAATCAAGAAACATTTCTGAGAAGGGATTTTATTAAATAACAGACTGGAATAGTGAGTCCAAAGTTCACTGGGGAGTCACTAGGAATGCAGGAAAAGCATTCCAGGCCAAGGGAACAATGTGTCTGAGGCAAGAAAGGAAAAGGCTGTTTGGAAACTGCAGGTACTGACCAGAAGCCTCTGCTGGGAAAAGTCACAGAGGGTTTGCTCACCTCATCAGGTTGCCGGGAAAGGCTGCAATTAGACCTAGGTTCACATCCTGACATCTGTTTGCAGGGTGACTTGTTGAATTGGGGTCTCTACATCTTACTGGGCTGGAGAGTGAAATACATAAGCCCATGGATGAAAAAGCATCCAGCAGTACCCTGTACACAGTAGGTGTTCTGTATATATTTATAACCTTTCTAAAAACCTAAACTGTTGATCTAGAGGTGTGGCTCAGCAGTAGTCTTTGCCTAGCATGCACAAGGCCCTGGGTTCAATCTTCAGCGCCGGACAAAAAAATCAATTGTGATGTGAATGTAACAAACATCCGCTCCCACCCTGAGTCAGGCTTTACATGGCATCTCATTTAATCCTAGCAAGTGGAGTGGGCCGCCAGTCTCAATTCCAGAATCTCACCCAACAAATTACCTGGTCCCTTCCCCCTCTTCACGGCACAGACTGCTCAGAGCTTCCTGATTCACTTTATTAACAGCAAAGCCTGCTTATAGTGCAGCACTCTGGTGCTCAGTCCAAAGCCTGCATTTCCAGCCTCCCTCAGACATGGTTAAGGAGCTCAGTTATAGCCAATGAAATGTCAATAGAAGCATCATGTGACATCTGTGAAGGTCTCCTTAAAAGGAAAGAGACAGTGCTTGCAAATAAATGTTTATTTAATTTAAAAAGCAGGAAGAAAGAGAGGTGCCATCTTTCTACCTTCTTCTTCCCTGCTGACTGGACTTTGACAAAATGGCTAGAGTCTAAGCAGTCATCTTGGGCCATGTGAAGCTATGCTGGTAATTTATTATTATTATTATTATTATTATTATTATTATTTTGTAACAGGCATCGAACTCAGACCCTCACACTTGCCAGGCAGGCGCGGGGCTGCTGAGCTATCTCCCTGGCCTAAAGCTATGTTGGTAAGACAGCAAGATGGTGAGCTCGAGACTGCCCTGCCATCCCTCTTCTGAACCACTAGCTCTCCTCTTTTTTTTGGTCCCGGGGATTGAAGTCATGACCTCGCGTTTGCCAAGCATGCGCCTACACTGCAGAGCTAAACCCCTGGCCCCTAGCTCTTCTCTACTAGCCCTTCTTTCAGTATTTGCTCAGGCTCAGGTTCCTCCCAACTTAAACAGAAAAATCCTCCCTCTTTCCCAAGTTTCTGTCTCTGTCTTCTCTTCAAAAATATGAACTGTGAGAAGCTGCCTTTTCTCGAGGTCTCTATGTCTCCACCCCCAGGTACTCCTCAGCCACCTCCATGAGGCTCAGTCCTCCTATTCCACTGAATGGCATGGGCTGAGGGCCCTCTAGACATCTAAATCTAGAGGGTTTCCCTCTGCTACCTGACAAGTAGATCTCTCCAAAGCATCTCACTGTCCCTTCTTTTGGGCTCTGAGGGCCTCGATCACCCCTCAGCTGCATGTTTTCTGCTGTCTTACACATTTAGTTTCTCTACTTCTCCTTCTTCTTTTTTTCCTAGACAAGATCTGGCAGTTCAGGCTGATCTTGCATTCAGTATGTAGTCCAAGCTAATCTCAAACTTGCAGTGATCCTTCTGCGTCAGACTCCCTGGTGCTGGGATTATAGGTGCACCCCACCATGACTGCTCAGCTTCTGTTCTGAACCCTGGTCCCTTGTAACTACTTGTGACTTTCTCAAAAACACTTCAAACTCAACATTTTAAACTGAACTCATGGTCGTACCTTTTTCCTTTCCCCCAAACTTACCTTTTTGCAGGTGCTGTTGAAGGGGATGGGGTGACATCTTCAACCCTCCCAATCTTCATTCCCAAGCAAGCAAGCGAGCACTCCAAAGGCTGACCGCATACTAGGTCCAGGGGTCTTAGTTCTGTTTCCTCGTGTGGCCCAGAGTTTCATATGCAGGGCACTGATGCCCAACTCCTTGCACTTCTGGGTCACATATATCCTGGGAAGCCAACATGGCAATGTGTGGTAAGCCTTCATCTTCATCCCGCCAGTCACATGACAAACAGTTTCCTTGCCAGAAAGATCAGTGACATGGGCCAAAGTATTACAAGACACCAAATACATTATCTCCTTCAGCAACCTGAAGCCTGAGGCTGATGATCTGCTTTTCTTTCTCTTCCTTCCCCTTGCAAGGTGCCATTTCTGCAGATTGTCTCCAGAAGTCCATTTTCTATTGTAGTAACAACAGACACTGGGACATCATAAGGAATAGAAGTCTGTTTGGCTCAGGTACTAGAGGCTGGGAAGAGCCTGATGCTGGTGTCTGATGAGGACTCTCCTGCTCCATCATGACAGGGCAGAGGATATCAAATGGCAAGATAAACCAAGTGCACAACTTCAGGTCTCTCCTTCTCAAAAAGTCAGTAAGCCATCATGGGGAGCCCCACCTTCATGTTCTCATCTACCAAATGGCCTCCCAGGCATCCCACCTCCAATTAGCATCAGCATATGAATTTGGGGTGTAACAAACTTTTGGGGTCAAATTTCCCAACAAATGTTAGCAAACATCCACACCACAACCAGTGCAAAAGTAGGCTTGACAATCTCACCTCCTAAGTAAATACAATCCAGCCACTGCTACCAGTCAACTGGACTGCTGCCACCTCTCACCAAGAACAGTCACGTAAATTGATCTTTTGTTCCCATTCCAATCACCCTAAAAACCTGTTTTGTCCACACCAGTTATCAAGGAATCTACCAAGAAGGCTGTGTCCACAGTTTGCTCACAGGCCAACAACTTCCCTTTGCCCTCCAGTTGGAAGGCCAGACTCTTTTTTTTTTTTTTTTTTTTTTTTGTCTTTTTCGGTACCAGGGATCGAACTCACGACTGCCTGCTTGCAAGGCAGGTACTTATGCCGCTGAGCTAAATCCCCAGCCAGAAGGCCAGACTCTTATGTGGGGCCAACACCTCTTCACTCTTTCTCAGCCCCAGCCATATGACCTTCTGGGACCCATCTGCTTTTCGAACCATCTGTTCTTTTCTTGGTTCCTCTGCACCAGCCTAACCTGGCCTGATCTTTGTGCTGCTAGCCAGAACTCTTCCCTGTGACCATCCATAAACTTCTCCTCCTACATTTAGAAAGACCTGAAACATAAACGCTGTAGTTCCCACTTCAAACGTTAGCTTTTGCAGGCCTCTTTTGCGCACTGTCCCATCGCTCCAGGCTCAGGTGCAGACATCCAATGAAATCTGTTGAGTGAATGAATCATTTGCTTTCCTCTGCTCCCATCGTATTCATGAAGAACACTTATCTGAGGGCTTAGGAACCCCATCTGAAAGACGTCCTAGGGAAGGTGCACACCTGAAGACAGGCCAGGAAGCCGGATGTGGCGACACATACTTGTTACCAGCATTCTGAGAGGATAAGGCATGAGGATCACAAGTTCAAGTGTAGCCTGAACAATTTAAGAGATTTAGCAAAACATTCTCAAAAATTAAAATAAAATAAAAAGGCTGGACTTGCGGCTCAGCAGAAAGGCCCTAGGGTCAATCTTCAGTACCAAAAAGGCAAAGAGGATACAAGGCAAGGAGTAACGAGGTGAGAATTGTGAAGGAGTCAAACACTCCAAGTCCTCCTCGACGCTGAACAGGCAAAAATCGCGCATGCGCACACCCTGCGGGAGGCCTGACGCCTCCTTGGCCCCAGGGTGGCGCTGTGCGCATGCTCCCCACAGCACAGTCAACCCGGCTCCTTTGGCCACTCTAGCCGCCCTTCTCGCTGCTCCGCTGGGACGCGGGCGCGCCGCGGGGGTCCCTCCAAGATGGCGGCGCAGAGGAGGAATCTGCTGCAGAGTGTGAGGAAGCGACCCGCTCTCTGGGCTGGGGGCTGGGAGCTCAGTGGGTACTGTCGGGTGCTGCAGCGGCTCCCTCTTCGAGGCGGAGTGAGACCGCCGCCCTCCTTTCATTCCCAAGGCAGGGGGCGCGTGCAGCGCGCCTGAAGCCAGGGCGGGTTCGGCCCCTCAAGGCCCGCGCGTGCGCGCCGCTGGCCGGACGGCCAGGGGTCCAGGGCGCCGGGGTCCTGCGCGGTGGGAGCGTCCTCGAGCCGGAAGGGAGATGGCGCCAGCCTGGGCGCGAGTGAATGTTGTGACAGAACAGCATCACCTTGTGTAAGGCATGCTGTGACCCAGACATTGTGTTGCCTTACATTTGTGTCTTTTAATTTTGGTAACAGACCCTGGATATAGATACTATAGTTATTCCTATTTTACAGATGAGGAAACTGAGGCACAGAGAGGCGGTCATTTGCCCCAGGCCACACAGCTGGTAAGTGGCAGAGACAGGATTAAAACCAGGTAGTCTCATTCCAGAAACCTCTTTAAGCTCTGGGCTTTACTGAAGAAATGACAAGTGCTGATGGCCTGGGTTTTGGTCCTGGCTCTAACTCACTGTGTGTCCTTTGGCCTCAGTTTCCTTTCCCTGAATTTGGAGTCGGGAGTGGGCAGACTGGCTCTAGATGCACTGTCTGGACCTTCATAGGTACAGTCCAGTCTTGACCCAACTACATCCTCACGAGATACATGTGTACAGAGACGCATACCCATGTTGACTCCTTGGCTTTTGTTGGTCTGCTAGGGTTAGGGTGTCGATCCTCTAGCTCCTCCCTTGTCATAGTGATATAGGGGAAATAAATGTAACTATCAACCAGCTAGATGTCAGATGCTCCCAGACTGTTCCGAAAACCAAAGAATGAGTTCTAAGGATCGATGGAGGCTAAGAGTAGAAAATATTCAGACTGAGAAAGAGAGAGAGAGAGAGAGCATGCACGAGCGCACTTGAGAGACAGATGGGGATCTAAAAAATAGGTTGCCACAGATCCTACTTTACAGAGGAAGTTTTATAGACCAAAATCATGAAGTGGGTACAATGTAGGACAAGACTATGATCAACCAATAAGATTACAAATTTAGCTGCTTCGGTAGTATTGATTGAATGGGGAAGAAGGTCACATAGCAAGTGTACATAGAACAAGGACCTTTTTAGGAAAAGACGAATTGGGTCTTGGTCACCCACTGAGGTGGCTGATGTTAATTTATTGTTTATCTCTCACAGAAGCATGTAGGCCTGGGTTTGTTTTTTTTTTTTTTTTGCACTGGGGATCGAATTCATGACTTCGTGTTTGCCAAGCAGGCACTTGTGCCACTGAGCTAAATCTCTGGCCATAGGCCTGGTTATTTTGTCTTCATTTAGCGGCGTGACCTCCAACAGATGGGCCCTGGCCCCAGTTGTAATACATTTTCATCCTCTGTATTGATTCCCCCAAGGGCCTACTTCTGTCTGGCTGCCTATAATATTTTTACCTGGCTTAGCTGTTTATAATAATAGCACTTGGAATTGCTTGTGGATGTCTCAGCCTCCTAAACTAGAAAGTAGACTCCTCAACGGCAGGGGCTTGTGATCTTCTGCTTTACTGTTGTGTCAACACCTCCCACTACCTTGCTGGACACTCAGTCAGTATTCGTGAGGTACGGAGTAAGGTGTTGGCAGCCAGGTGCAGTGTAGGCCTTGCCTTACAGTCAGACATGGGCTCTTCTGCTTTTGAGGGTCTTGGAGGACTGGAACTGGAGGGTGAGGGATGCCCTTTACTGTATGCTGCTACGGGCTTTGCATAGACTTAAAGCTGAGAGGTCTGCCCCTCTGCTTTGTAAGTGCCTGGAGGGCAGGGCCCTTTTATCAATGTCTCCATTGTAGGAAGTACCCACAAAACACAAGCTTGATTATGGTATTGAGAGAAAGAGGAGCTTGGGAGAAATGGTAGGTGGTGTAGGCTGAGTTGGCTGACTGAGAGAGTGACCACCTGGGTCATACAGAGCAAGGCGGCTGTTAGCTTCGTAGCTCCTAGGTATGACAGAGCCCAAGGGGTTTGGACTAGATGAGCTTTACTGGCTTCCAGATATGTTCACTGGATGGTGATAGACTTGTTGGTTTATTGTTTGGTTTGTGTCTTGTTTACTTTTCTCTTGTTGCTGGGACAAAACAGCTGGCACCCAAAATGTAACAAGGAAAGCCTTATTTAGCTTAAGGTTTTTGGAGGTTTCAGTTCATATTCAGCTGGCTTCAAGGGAGGGTTGCATGGCTGAGGGTCAACTATTCATGCTGGCTGTGGCAGAAACCAGAAGAGACCAGAGCAAAGGGCAAAAGGGAGGAGCAAGCCTCTTTCCCTCCCTTACATGGTATATCAGCTATTTGTACTTGGGCAGGTACAGCACTCACACTTAGTCCCAGCACTAGACAGTGAGCCAGTCACAAGTGCTAGACTCAGCCTCCTTCAAAAGGCCCACCCCCATGACCACATGAATCTTTGGGGAGACAGCCAAACACAAACCATAACAGTTTGGTTGTGGAGATTGAACGCAGGGCCTTTACACTGAGCTATACTCCATCCCTTTTTCAAATTTTGAGCTAGGAACTTACCAAGTTGCCCATGCTGGCCTTGAATTTGCCATTCTCCTGCCTCTGCTTCCCAAGTGACTGGGATTACAAGTGTGTGCTACATGCCTGGCAGTGCTAGACTCTATTAGAGAAAGAATACTTTAAACACATAGCACCAGCATACCCAGCAATACACAGCATCTTATTGCAAGGTAAGGAGGTTGCAGAGGTGTCTACATATGGCCCCTTCTGCCCTCAGGTTGAGCAGGGCATCCTTCTCACAGGGTGTCTGAGTGTCCACTCCAGGCAGGATGACCTGGCCTGACTAGGCGTGCTGAGAGCAGGTACCCATGGTTGAGCAGGTGGCCCTGAAGGCTGCTGTCTGTGCTCTGGGCCAAGGATGGGAAAGTAATGAAGCATGGCACCCACCCTCACAGCATTGCAGTTGATGTGGACCGGAGCACAGCACCAGTACAACGCGTAAGGCTCTCAAAGGTCAGTGTGGCCCTGCATTGGGTGCCCAAGGGCTTATTGTTCTTTTTGTTTCTTCTGGTACTGGGACTTGAACCAGGGCCTTCCGACTGAGCTATAGTCCTTGCCCTTTTTTACTTTTATTTTGAAACAGGGTCACTAAGATGTCCTGATCAGGCACTCTTTTGCAGCCCTCCTGTCTCAGCCGCCTCCTGTTCTCAGATTATAAGCATGTACCATCATACCCAGCTTGCAAAGGCTTTAAAGAACAAGTTGAAAATTGCCACCCAGAGCAGGACAGGAGCATTCACTAGGTTACCCAGGCTGGCCTTGCTGGTGTGACCTTTGGATTCTATACCAAATGTGATAGGAAGCGTCCAGGTAGCTTTGAGTAGGGCCCTGATGTTACCTGGTTTATGACTGGAGAAAGATCCCTTGGCTTTTTTGTTTGTTTGTTTTGGTACCAGGTGTCAAACTCATGACCTCACAGGTGCTTATGCTGCTGAGTTACATCCCCAGCCCAATCCCTTGGTTTTCATTTGTTTTGTTTGGGAGTGATGGGGATCGAACCCAGTATGTTGTCATCAAAGAGGCTAAGTGGCCCTCATGCTTCTGAGTGGCAAGAATTGAAGAGCCTTGGACCTGCCAAGGGGCCACTAGAATCGCCCAGGTGCAAGAGGTCAGTGGCTTGGCGGGAGCTGGCAGGGAGTGATGGGAAGTGCTGGGGTCTGGCTGTGTTTTGGAGGGGGAGCTGGTATGATGAGGGAGAAGAGCCAAGACGGAGGCCGAGGCTGTGGGTAACGATGCGTGTGCCATTGATGGCTTGGGAGCCCTGGAAGAGGAGCACTGTGGGTGGTGAATGTGAAGAGACTGCACATCTGTAATACCTGCTACTCTCGAGGCTGAGGCAAGAGAATGGAAAGTTTGAAGCCAGCTTGAGCGATTTAGGAAGAGTTTATTCCCTGTCTTGGAATAAAAAAGGGCTGGCAATGTAGCTCAGTGGTAGAGCACTCCTGGATTTGATCCCCAGGATCCCAGAAAAAAGATGTCACCCAGGCCCAATGTTGCATACCTGTAGTTCATACCACTCCAGAGGCTGAGGCAGGAGGATCACTTAAGCATGGGAGCTTGAGGCCTGCCTGGGCAACATAACAAGACCCACAAAAAAAGAAAAAAAGGGGGCTGGGGATTTAGCTCAGCGGCATAAGTTCTTTCCTTGCAAGTGTGCGGTCGTGAGTTCGATCCCTGGTACCGATAAAAACGAAAAAGACAAAAGAAAAAGAAAAAAGGCCACAAAACCAGTTTTTTTCTTTTCTTTTCTTTTCCTTTTTTTTTGGTCTTAATCTGAGACAGAGTTTCACTATGCACTTCAGGCTGGCCTTGAACTCACTGTGTAGCCTAGGCTGGCTTCAAACTTACAGCAGTCCTCTTGCCTCAGCCTCCTGAGTGCTAGGATTATGTGCACCACCATGCCTGGCCCAAACCTATTTATTTATTTATTGTACCAGGGATTGAATTCACCAAGCTTGAGCCGCTGAGCTAAATCCCCAGCTCCAATACCAATCTTTTTAAACATAAGCATTTCCTTAGACTTCCTGTGAAGTGACAGATGCTAGGTATGCATACATGAAATATGTACCCACTAAAATGAAAACACCCATTTAAAATCTCCATTAGGCCATCCCATAGGCCTTTGTCATAGGTCGGTTGCTGGGCTGCCCTACAGTCCTTAGTGACCCTTCAAGCAAGCCTTAGGGACTCTGATGACAGCGTGGAGCCTTTGATGGAAACCGCCAGGAGTGACTTGGCCCAGAGAAGGGGGGGGGGGGATGGCAGGAGGCTCTTCGGTCCTGCCCCAGCCAACCTCCCGGGGACATTATCCTCCCTCTCTGAGCTTCCTTTTGGCCTGTGGGTGTTAGTTGCTTTCACCCACCCAAACACTCGGCCTTTTCAT